ACTATATGCATCCGAAGAAGTGGGCTGTAGTCCACGAAAGCTTATGCTCTAATAAATTGGTTAGTCTCTAAGGTGCCACAAGTACTCCTGTTCTTTTTATTAGGTGGACTGTGATGTACTGGCCTGGAATGCCATGGAAGACCTCGTTCACTAAGAGCTGCAATGTTGCAGGGGCGTTTGTGAGGCCAAATGGTATTACCAGGTATTCGTAGTGGCTGTACTGAGTTCAAAAAACAGCCTTTCACTCATCCCGGTGGATCTGAACCAGGCTGTAGCCCCCCGTAGGTTGAGTTTCTTAAATACTTGGGCTGATTGTACACAGGCCAGTAGTTCTGGGATGAGTGGAAGGAGTAACCTGATTGAGGGCCGGTAATCCACACATAGGCGCACGGTTCCATCTTTCTTTTTAACAAACAGAATAGGGCCCTGGCAAGAGATAGATGGCCATATGAAACCCTTGGCCGGGTTCTCCTGGAGATCGGAACCGGAGCTGGCTGACCTGCATTACTACATCACGTAGATATGGCCAAATGGCATCTTGGCCCCTGAGTGCAGCTCAGTGGCGCAGTTATAATCCCGGGGTGTGGTGCGGAGTCGGGGGTGTTCTTGAAGACGTCACAGCAGTCGCTGTGCTTGGGGGACAGTGCCAAAGCCAACTCTGCTGCTGGTCCCACCTGACCCATGGCCAGGGCGTGTGTCTGGTTTCTGGGGCTTGTCAGATGGCACATGCAGGCAGACGTGCTGGAAGAACTAGGAGCAGAGGCTAACTTGGTGCTCATGCCAAAGGATGTGTGGGTCATGAGCCAACAGCCATGAAATGCCAAGAATTATGGGAAGTGTGGTGAGCAGATCATCCCAAACTGGAGGAAGTCCGATGGTCCCAAATGGCAACTTCCAGAGGTACCGTCGCCTGTGTCACTGGCCCGATGACAGGAGCCATCAATAGTTCCCACTAGGTCGAGGACCGTCTTTGATTGAACTGGATGGGCTGCTTTGTCCACTGCCCCGGAATCCACCAGTGCCCACTGTGGTGGGACTCGGTGAGCTTCTCTGCAACACAGAGGCGGACCTGGAGCTCAGGGTATGGGGAGTGCTTGCCCTGCCTGGGACGTGGTCTCCATCATAGGCAGGGTTTACAGCCCCCCAGTGTACACATTGTCCCACTGCCCATGCAGAGCCTGGTTCTCTGTCGTGAGCTGGGATGATTTAGTTGGGAATTGGTCCTGCTTTGAGCAGGGGGTTGGACTAGATGACCTCTTGAGGTCCCTTCCAACCCTGAGATTCTATGATTCTATGAACACTCGGTCTCGAAGGGTGGGGAGCTCCTGGAAGACATCAGCCCCTTGGGGCATCTCCAGGGTCCCCTGGGGCAGGCCAACAGAGTGGTCTGCTGCCTCCATGTCCCCCCAGGGTAATGTGTTCACCTCACCCCAGGCTAGGGTGGTCCAGGTAGGGTGACCAGACGTCCCGATAAAATCAGGACCGTCCCGATTTTTAGCTGTTTGTCCCGCGTCCCGACTGATCATAGAATATAGAATCATAGAATATCAGGGTTGGAAGGGACCTCAGGAGGTCATCTAGTCCAACCCCCTGCTCAAAGCAGATCTCTGGTCGGGATGCAATTTGTCCCGATATTTTGCTTCGCCGGCAGCACTCAGCATTTTTTTTTTTGCCCCCCCGGTGTCCCGACATTTTCTTCATCTCATCTGGCTATCCTAGGTCTAGGCAAGCTATCAGGATCCCGACAAGGGCAGTCGGGCCCCAGGGGCAGAGCAGGGGGAGTGGAGGAGTTTATAGTTGGGTTCCAGGCCAGGGTCGATACTGAGGGTCAGGGTCCAAGTCAGGTTTCAGGGTCATGAGGTGAAGTTCAAGCCAAACCAAGGCAGAAGCCAGGAGTTCAAGCAGGGGTGGGTGTTGGAGCAGCTACAGAAGATCTGTGCTGCTGCCTGGACACTTCCTGGAATGCCCCTTGGGTTTATATAGGGTGGGGAGCCAATCAGGAGCCATGAGGCTGCTGTCTGTCAAACTCTTGAGGTGGGACTTCCCATAATCCGCATCGACAGTGAGTTGTTGGCAGTGGAGCCCACGCTGGTTACAGCTGCCTGGCAGTGCTTCCGGCCTAGGTTCTAGCCCTGCAGGGAGACCAGCCCAGCTGGGGGAGGGGGACCCAGTCCGTCAGTGTGGGGGTGCCCTGGGGGTCTGGCTTGGTGCTCAGTGGGGTCTGGAAGACATTGGGGAGGATCTGTCACTGCAGAAATGAAAGCAACGGCACATCTGCCTGCCCCCCAGCCCTGGGGGCTCCACATCCCCTGCCCCAGCCAGCGGGCTGCAGTGGGCCCCCCCTTCCGGGCGGGTGCTGCAGGTGGGAGTGGGGAGGGGCAGAGGCTCCCTCCTGTCCCCATTGCTCACAGGAGAGGGGAGGGAGAGCTCTGCCTGCCACAGGCCTGATTGGCTGCTCTTCCCCAGGAGGCGGGGCAGTGGTGAAGGCAGCCAATCAGAGGAAGTTTCATCCCCTGGGAGAGCGGAAATGTGGCCTCCAGCTGTGGGGCTGCAGCTGGAGAAACGTATTTCCCGGGTCCCTGATCTAGTGCACATTGAGTCTCCTGTGCTGGGGGATGCTGTTCGAGCGGTGTTTGCGGGGGTTGGGGGAACGTGCTTGATGGGGTTGTTGGGGGAGGCATGTCATCTGGGGGGGTTGTTGGGGGATGCTGTTCAGGGACATTGTGTCATGTTGGGGGTGTTGGGGGATCTGGGGTCTAGGCAGGGGTCTGGTGTCACTCTTTCCCTCTCTCACAGATGGGGTTTTTCAAGAGAACCCGGCCGCCCATGGACGACCAGGAGGAGCTAACGAGTGATGAGACGGGGGAGCCATGCACCGGGAAGGGCCAGTAGGGGGCACCCCCCAACTGGTCCCCTCCTTGCACTCCTGTCACTACCTCCTGCAAGTGCAGCCCATGCCTGGGGCCTGTCCCTCAGTAGCAAGGAGAAGCAGAGCTAATGCCTACGCCAGCCAGACGGACAGACAGCTCCTGCCCCCCCCCCCCCCCGCTCCTCCTGTAGTGCGCACCCTGCCCCTCGCCAGCTGGAGCTCCCCAGCCCACAGCGATCTCCCCTCCCAGCCAAGAGCAGGTATGGGCAGGGCTGGCCAGAGGAAAGTGCCCCCCCCCCCGCCATGCCTGGCTGGGATCTCAGTCCTGCCCCCTGGCACTCAAGGGGGCGCTGAGACAGCATCACAGAATCCCAGGCCAGAAGGGGCCGTTGGATCAGCTCGTCTGCCCTGTACAGCCCAGGCGCCCGGTGCTGAGCCCAGAGCCGGCAGAGACCAGGAGAGACCGAGCAGGGAATTGACGAGGAGACAGATCTACCTCCAAGGCTTCAGAGGAAGTTGGAAACCCCCTGAGGTCCCTGCCCATCTGCCCTGGGGGAAATGCCCCAGACGGGGCAGAGCAGTTGGCCCCGGAGCCTGCTGCCCAGCTCTCACAGCCGGGTGCCCTGTGAGCGCTGCCTCTCCTTAGCACCACATGTTGATTTCCACCTAGGGGGGTCAAACAGCTGCTGAGGCCCCACCCTTGGAGGGCAGAGCACCAAGCCCCTCGCTGCACCTTTGGGGGAGACAGGGGGGCCTCTCCCATCCCCACCCACTGCTCCTGCATCACAGGCCCCCTCCTGGCCATGGAATTGTAGCCTCCCTCCTGCTTCCTGCTGTGCAATAAACGAGCTCCCAGCACCCTGTGCAGAGCGTCCTTTCCTGGCCCACACGCGGGGGGAGCAGGTGATGGTGCATGGGATGTGGGAGTGGCGTGGGGGACTCCTGGATGGGAGTGGGGTAGTGTGGGGGCAGCAGTGGGACCCTCATGTGCAGGGCAATGGCGCTAGCGTCCCTGGGGAGCAGCAGCTTTTCCTCAGCCCTTTGGCACAGAGGCAATAAGGAGATCCCGCCATTGCATGCTGGGATGGAGGCATTGCTTTCCAGCCCCATTGCATGCTGGGATTGAGTCAGGGTGTGAGAGAGCTTGAATCTGGGGGCGGGGGGAGGCAAGGGAAAATGGGGGCGGGGCTGCATGTCAGCTCAGCCAGGTCTGCCCCTTAGTTAGGGTTACCATATTTCCACAAGCAAAAAAGAGGACACTGGAGGGGAGGAACCCCGCTCTAGCCCCGCCCCTGCCCCACCCCACCCCGATCCACTCCCTCCCACTTCCCAGCCCCTGATTGCCCCCCTCAGAACTCCCAACCCCCCCCACACCTTGTCCCCTGACTGCCCCCTCCTGGGACCCCTGCCACTAACTGCCCCCTAGGACTCC